GTTATCAGTGTTGCACTGGTAGGATGAGGAATTTAATTTTTCTAGAAAATGTATAATTATTTTCACTATAAAAAATTACTTAAGATTAAAAAGTGGGGATTAATTTTAAATTTTAACAGCTTTTATTTAACAAGCATTTTTTATCTATCTACTCCATTCAAGTAAAAAGTTCTTGTGAGATTGGAAAAAATAAAATTTTAAAGACAAATAAAAGTGAATAACAAAAATATTTCCAACTACTCAATGAAAGTTATATTTTTTACTGCTAAAAACAAGAATTGTTACACTCATTTAAACTAGTAACTTTACGTAATGCTTTACTTAAAACATTATCTTCTTTTAACTTATAGTACACATGATAAATTCATCATTTAGCTTTGACATTGGATTGGATAATTGTGGGAAAAGCACAAGCACATTCTTTACGGGTGTAACCCATTTACTAGACGAAAAATTTATCTTATAAAAGCTGACTCGCGAACGTCCCTTTCAAACAGTCACTTCTTGCATTTTATGAACTGATGAAATACAGTTTGCGACAAGACGAGTAGAGTCAGATATTTTGTAGCAATTTGTTAAAAAAAAATTGTCAAAATGTTGTTCAAAGTATTGGTTACATGTGCACTTGTAACATTTTTCCACACTTGGGAAGTCAATGCTCACGGCAGACTTAGGGACCCACCAAGTAGATCATCTGCTTGGAGAGAGGACTTCAATGTTCCAGAGAATTACAATGATGCTGAACTTAACTGTGGTGGCGTTGGGGTAAGTGTTATTCCATAGTTTTGCATTTTGAATCATCCAGTTACAATATTTTGTTTATTTTCTGTAAGCTGTATTACTTCCTTGAAAAATCAATTATGTATCAGACTTACATGTTTTGAAAAACTTTATTTTTATACTTTATTAAGATTGTGATAACTTTTGATGATCAAAAAATGATTTCGTTGTTATTTTTAGGGTTAAAAAGTCCTAATTTGATTTCCCATAACTATTTAATTATTCTTATTGCCTTGTTTGATAACATTTTAAATAGCTTAAGAATAAAAATGTAGTTTTGTACCTTATTAAAGGTTTCAAAAAGATACTTTAAATAAAAAAATACAAACTCAAGACCAAAAATTTAGACTTTATGTTTACATAATTAAAGAAGTACAACTGAAGCTTTAGGCTATCGTCGAATATTATGACTGATGGAATTGTATTAATAATAAATATTCACGTTGCTAAGTATAAATCATCGTTGTTGTCTACAATTATTTGTCCTGGCNTTTTAACTGACTCATCATTAATGCCAGATAAAAAAGTTTACTTACAAGTTACATTCGTGCCATTAGAATGAAAAAATTTTTTCAAAACTTTATACTTTTTTGTTAACATTTTGTCGTAAAATATCACCTAATAGTGTTAGCTGCAGTTCAATGATATTTGGTAAATACTTATTTCTATTTTTCTACACGTGTAGGTAACTCCTTACCCATAATGTGTATCAAAAGGCACTTTCTGCGTATACCCACACTCAGAGGATGGTGGCCTTCAATATTTTACCACCTCTATTTTAAGATATTACAGTCTTAATTAATCATTACATTCATTTTCTACGTGTAAGTTATGTATTAAAATTAACGACAAAATTCGCTTACAGTATATGTTTGTCCAGATATCAGTGCCGATGACACAATAAATACTAACGTCAATTTTTTGGATAAAGGCCTATGACACCACACACTCTATTATTTTAAAGTATTTGAGTTTGTACAAAACATTTAATGTTCTCATATATATATATTCCTGATCTTTTTCATTCGCAATAATAATTTGTCATTGATGGAGATAATAGCTAACGTCGATGTGTTGACTGACAGGATTAACATTGTCGATCAAGATTTATCATTTATAGCCTTATCATATAAAAACCGACTGGTTCCAATATTGCAAACAAACGTTCAACGGACATCTAAAGTTGTTGGTCACAAAGCTCGTAGCTCACAAAACGCTCGTGTTATATGTTTAATAAGAAAGAGTAAAAAAAACTACATACATAGATTTTTAGCTTTCCAAGTGATTTAAATGGTGGTTGTAACAATGACTGTAAAAATGATCATTGCGTGTATTCTTATGAATTTTCTTTACGGTTTACAAGTTGATGCTCACGGCAAACTTATGGACCCTGTGAGTAGATCATCTGCTTGGAGGAAAGGGTTCAACGTTACGGAAAATTACAACGACAACGAACTTTACTGTGGTGGCTTTGCGGTGAGTTGAGTGGGTCATTGTTTTTACTTAAATTTTTTCTCTATATTTAGTAATTTGCCTCAAGTTGCGCACATTATCACAACTGTTTGTCACGTTTTTCAAAACAAAACCGAACGAGTCAATATCAATTCTCTAGCAAAATAATCTAGACTAGCGATTAAAATTGCTTGAATAAAATTAAAAAAAAATTAATTCTCAATTAACCACATTACAGTATGTGTATCATGGCTAACTTAGCTTATTCATGTGTGTATACTCAGTAACACTAAGTATTTTTACATTATATAAAACCCTAGAAATGATGATACTTAAACAATGAATCAAAAAACTAGTGTGAATCGATTAGGAGATGATACATCTTTGAGAGACTGCTTTAAGTTATTTTTGCATTAAAAACCATTAATGGTATTTTCAAAAAAAATCTTAATCATCTCGTTAATGAGTATTACTAGTGTTATCCAAAACTGATCGATAAAAACGAGTTAACAATTATCTAGATCAGCAGACGTATCCAAACTCTTACCAACATGTGATACTTGGGATAAATAGTTAAGTAAGGTTTTTTGACGCACTTCAAAGCGCGTATCTAAGACGCAACGACTGGTCTCGAGTCCAATCAGCTTATCTTGCCATTATGATTATGATGTGGTTTTACTTTCCGGTTGAATCAATTAAATAAAATATGAAGGTATCACATAGTTATAATTGGTTATTTTTTTCATTAAAATAATTTTCTAATAGATGCTCAGGAATTATATTTACTGTTTTTATAGGATTAGTCTCTTGATCAGTGTTTTTGAGATGGAACTGCTGACCTTTTTATGTTATCATCAGAAAAATAGTTTTATGCTAGTACTTTGTTCGTTTAACTTTCGTTTTAACAGTCAATTTTATACTTCAATTTGAATTCTTGAAAATGTCAAAAATTTCCAGATATTACATAATCAAAATAAAGGAAATTGCGGACCATGTGGCGACGATTGGTCCAAACCCCGTCCAAGGGACAACGAAAATGGTGGAAAATACGGTCGAGGAATAATTGTTCGTAGGTAAGTCAAAGATATTTATAGTGAGTTGCACAATTACAGGTAAAATAAGTACTATCCTAGATTGCATGTATAATACGTGTACGTTTCAGCCGAGTGTCTCTATTTGTAATTTAGGATATTTACTCAAATACTTTTATGAAACTTATTAAAGGTTAAGGTGTATTTCTATTTGACATGGTTTTATCCCTTCGATAAACATTTGCTTTGTCATTTTTTTTTTTTTTTTTTTTTTTTTTAATGGTATAGTCAACAAACAAGAATCATTGAAATATAATTTGTAAGAGTTATGTGATAAAATTCCTTATATGTTCAATCATTTTTTCTCATTTAAATGTTAATTAAAAATATTTTTATCCTACATCTAAAAAAATGGCTAAAAATGATTCAAGTTATGTCAAAGTATTTGTTCTGATAAGCAAAAACGTTTTTTTATGAATTTATATTTTTACTTATTAATCTTACTCGAGATCAGAAACTACGTTTCAGTGCTCACATTTAATTTATCATCATTATGATAATCATCCGTAATTATTTCAATCACATCCACTGAATCCAATATTTTATTAAATGAATGTATTTATTTAAGTGAAAATTTTATTAATGTTATTTATTTACACACATGCGTGCATTTTTTATGTATTTATTAGTTTACTTATGAAGCAACCAAAACGTTGTTACTTATTTGGTTCACACAAATAACAAACTCAAGATCGAGATTTGTGTACCCACATGATAACAAGTTCAAATCGTGTACTGCGTAATTGAAGATATCAGTGCAATTATTTTGGTTAGCCCATTATAATACAGGACCGTCATTCTGTACGTTATCGAAAAATTCTTATCAAAATGTTAAAAAAAAACAAAAGAAAACTAAGATGTGTAATATAATAATAATTATTGTGTACTAGTTGTTTTATAATGTGTCTTATCGCAGTGCTGGTAAATAAAATAATTTTAAAAATCATGAATTTGTTAAAACTGTCTACGTTAACTATAAAAATGTTTAACTGATTGGACGGAATTTTCAATGTATTTGTGAATAAATGCAGAGAAAATATGTCCATATACATAAAACCCTGAAAAATAAATAAACAGGTATTAACTTAAGACATACATCTCACCAAATGGTTAATATTGTACATCATGTAGAATTATAAGTGATTAGTCGTTTTGACACACTATTCTTTTCTTCTCACTTTATGAAATCAAATCTCGAGAAATAATGATAAGGATAATAGCAACCAAGCCAAAATAGAAGAATCGTTTTTAAACAACTTTAATTTTTTTATATANTGATTATATTTTTTTAACTAGCCTAATTTTTTTATTTTCGTCGTACTACAACGACTTGTACTGTTTAAAACTTGTTACAACAACTAGTACCGTTTAGATATTTTACACTAAAAGAAGCACTGTTGTCAGTTTTTTTACACAAAGTAGTTTGTGGTGTTCTGTTCTTATGGAAAATTACTCATAAACATTTTTAAAAAGATGCACTTTTCAAAGCTTAAGATTTCCAAAGTTTTACACTAAATTGTGCATTTTTAACTGACTCATCATTAATGCCAGATAAAAAAGTTTACTTACAAGTTACATTCGTGCCATTAGAATGAAAAAATTTTTTCAAAACTTTATACTTTTTTGTTAACATTTTGTCGTAAAATATCACCTAATAGTGTTAGCTGCAGTTCAATGATATTTGGTAAATACTTATTTCTATTTTTCTACACGTGTAGGTAACTCCTTACCCATAATGTGTATCAAAAGGCACTTTCTGCGTATACCCACACTCAGAGGATGGTGGCCTTCAATATTTTACCACCTCTATTTTAAGATATTACAGTCTTAATTAATCATTACATTCATTTTCTACGTGTAAGTTATGTATTAAAATTAACGACAAAATTCGCTTACAGTATATGTTTGTCCAGATATCAGTGCCGATGACACAATAAATACTAACGTCAATTTTTTGGATAAAGGCCTATGACACCACACACTCTATTATTTTAAAGTATTTGAGTTTGTACAAAACATTTAATGTTCTCAAATCCATTTTTTCTTCTAAAGTTGTTTTCATAAAATTTTTCTGACACTCTTACAAAGAAATCAAGCCGCTTCATGGTAACTCATTTCTTATTGAAACTCTTAAATTGATAAGACCTAACTAATAAAAAATAATATTGCGTTTATGCATTCGTTTAATAGAGCTTCAATTTGCATGTACAATATTTATAAGTACACATGCGTATGAGCCTTATCGATGTCTCTATTCTCAACTTTTCTAGAAATGATTATTATTACTTTTTTTTTTCCACGTGTCATTTATTTTTATAAAACAAAAGGTGTGACGCCTCATAAAAAACTCCATAACAATAGTAGGAAAACAATTGTTTACTACAAAAAAAATGTGGCCTAATACATATAGCCCATATCGGTGTATGTGTATATAAGAAAATCCACAAAAAATTTCTCATTTCTGTCTCCCCGTTTTGATAAAAAAAGTTTTTTAAGGCAAACCTTCGAGATAGGGCTTATTTTACTTGTAATACCATGCACTATTAGGAAAAAATTTTGAACACTGGTTTCATTGGGGTGATACCCACATAATTTTAACATGTAAATCGCGGAAAAAGAGGCTGGAATTTTTGGGATTTGTGCACAAAGTCAAAGTTAGGGACTTAATCAAGATTTTTAGTCCAATCAATCTCAAAATTTAAATTAAGATTTTGTACAAATGATTAAACTTGTTGGTTTGTTTGTGCGAAGGCCTTATAGAAAGAAATAAACGTCAGTTTCTGTGCAGAAAAAATCTGTTTTCCAACTGCAATGTATTCAACATTTAAATTTAATGACGGGACCCATGGTAAGAACAAAGTTTCCGAGGCACGCGTAGTAAAGTAAGATATACAATTATAAGTGATGAAACAATAAAGTATAAAACAATGCGAGATAATTATACTGCACAATAAAATGCCAACCAAACTACTTGAAAGATCTTGATTTCACTCGAGCGAGTAAAAAATTACCACGAAAAATAAACTAG